AGAGAGAGAGAGAGAGAGAGAGAGAGAGAGAGAGAGAGAGAGAGAGAATGAGAATAAGATGAAATAAAAATAAAAAAAATTATTTCTAAGAAGAATGTCTTGTTTGATTGGCATTCATTCACCAGAGCATAGACTGCTACCCTCAAACAAGGTGCCATCTACTTCTCTTCTAAGATGTCCTGTTCAGCAGTCACTGCCACAAACAGGGACCTGCCCTTTTCCAGACCTTGGTAGCTCAAGAAGACACCGCTAGAACACCGCTAGTTTCACCCAGTCACTGAAGTCACAAGATCAAAGAGGACATGAAGATGATGTAACAGGTTTGACTGCAAGCTCAAAGTGGTGACACCCGACAGGCCAAAGGAACTAAAGCCAGAGCTGTTAACTGACGTCTCGAGAGACAGTAGTGGTTGGAAATGGAGCTGGCCATCAGATTAGTCAACTTTTAGAAGCTAATTGAAGGTAGAGTGGGGGGAAGGTGGTCAATCTCATTACACAATGCGTTTATTTAAGTCTTAATCATGATTACGATGATAAATGCCAACTCTTTGGACTATAAAATGATTAAGACTCATCTGTGAAGAACGCAAGTCACGAGCTACAGAGGGCAATTGTTTAATTAAACTGCAGGAAAACTGTGGGGTTGGGGATGTAACGGCTTGACCTGGGAATGGATCGGGCTAGCAGCTGCAGCTCCCGGGACCTTTCACAGGGAAAGCGCATCAATGCCTTAATCCGAAGGTCCCGTTACATTTCTCTCATACTTTATTAGAGTTAGATCACTTTAACACTAGAGTTAACGCTAGACTTGAGGGCATACTGTGAGCTCTGCTGGGCCATACTCTCCACCCATCACTTAAAGCTCTGAGTATCCTCGCCTTTATTTATCCCTCTACTTACTTTATAAAATAAAACACTACAGTGTGTGCTGGGCATGATGGTGCAACCTTTAATCCTAGCACTGGGGAGGCAGAGGTGAGGGGATCTATGTGAGTTCAAGGTCAGCCCGGTCTCCAAAGTATGTTACAGACAAGCTGGGGCTTCACAAGGAGATCCCATCTTTAAAAGAGAAAGATGTGTCATGGGAGCCCTGTTCTTTCTGAACAGAAACAGACGGTTTGATTGAGGGGGGAGGAGAAGAGGAGGGAAGGGAACTGTGGTTGGGATCTAAAATAAATAAATAATAAATTTTAAAAGAAAGAGAAAGATGTGTAAGTCTAAAGAACAGATAGAAAACTAATGTTACTGAGGTAGCCAACCACACATCTTTGAGTGGGTTGCATCTTTGAGGAAGAAAACTATCCAAGATAATAATGGTCTCACTTTACCTCTGAAAGCTCTGAAAGTGTTATGCCGAAGAGGCACTGCCACTCAAAACTGTTTGGTCTAACCCGTTCTTGGAGTATCTTCCTAGAAACATATGGAAAGCCAAAGAAATTCTCCATGAAAAGTTGGGGGGGGGGTTCTTTCATTAATTCACAAATGTCATTAAAGTCAGTGTCCAAGTGTTGGGATCCTGGGTCCCTGCTGCAGTGCCCAGTGCCCCTGAATAGGATGCTCATTCTTGACTGAACGCAGTCAGATGAGGGGTACCACACATCATGGACTGAGAAGCTAAGATGTCCGTTCACATGGCCTTGCCGCTAAATTCAGCAGCCCAGAGTAATATGCCTATGCACAGGCAGGGGCCTGGCATCCACCTGCATTCGAGAAGAGTAAATGCAGCTGCTTAGCAGGATCTCAAGAAAACAGAACAGAAGCAAGAAGGAAACACACTAAGCGCTTCACTCTGTGTAAGAAAAAGTGAGTCTTAAATACCCTGTAAGGACAACCAGCATTTGTTTAACAATAGCTGAATGCTCCAAGCTGGAGGCTGGAAATGGGAGGAGGTGACATCTCACTTTCTCCCTTCTGTGTTATTTTAATTTTTCGACATGCTGAGATTGACATTTTCATCAACTTTCTGCAGGAGGAAGTGAAGGCACAGCAACACTGGGTCGTGTGTGTGTGTGTGTGTGTGTGTGTGTGTGTGTGTGTGTGTGTTTGTGTGTGTGTGTTTGTGTGTGTGTGTGTTTGTGTATGTGTGTGTGTTTGTGTGTGTGTTTGTGTATGTGTGTGTGTGTTTGTGTATGTGTGTGTGTGTTTGTGTGTGTGTTTGTGTATGTGTGTGTGTGTTTGTGTATGTGTGTGTGTGTGTGTGTGTGTTGGTGGGGTGTCACACAGCTGGAAAGCAGTGAAAGTTACACTTGCCTTTGAAAAGAATGCTGTTATAGATGAGACAGTTCTCAAGGAAAGTAGGTAGAAACTCATTTCCTACCTGACATGGAGCTGGTTGCCCACTAACAAAAGCAAATTGAAGAGAAGCTACAAGGACTGGAGGAAAGGGATTAAAAGGCGAAAAAGGAACCATCATTACAAGTGTTGAAAAGTTAGCTGACTGTGCCTAAGAAAATGGATTATTCGGCAAAGATGAGGACCTGCTAAGGTTGGAACTCATAAATATGTTATGAAGCCAATCAGCACAATTACATAACGTCCCCTGGCATTGCTGGGGACCTAGGAGCAGTCGGTTTGGGCTGGCAGGACAGTGGCATTCAAAGGATTTCAGAATACTTGGGAGGACCGTTAGTTCCAAAGCAGGTAGGATACAAAGTCTGGCTTCCAGATCTTCTAAAAATACATTTAAAACAAAAGTGCACTAGAATTAAAAAATAAAGCCACATAGATGGTACTGAAGAAATAGAAAGAGTGACACCAAGCGTCATGACAATTGCAAGCAGACAGCAGTGACAGACAGACTGGCTGCTGATTTACAGGAATTTCTGCCAGACTCTAAGTTCAAAGTCATCAAACGTGCTGGGAGCAAAACTGACCTGTAGAGGGGAACACAGTGGGCCCCCACCCAGGGAGATAAGCCATGAATGAACTCTCATCTGTACTCTTACCACCAGCTCCACTTCAGATCCCAGAAAGAAGGTCATCACAAAGCTTTTCTCTGAGGAAAATTGTCAGAAATTCAAGACACTATATGCCTGTTCTAGATGCTGGCCACCAGACTAACCCTCTCATTCTTGCATTGAGGGTGGCGGAGGAAACAGACACACCCTGAGAAAGGATAGCCTGGGTTCAGTCAGTCTGGAAAGTTCACTGTAAGTAAATAGGGGGAGGAACCTTTAAAGCCAATGAAATATGTGAGGCCCCGAAGTAGAGAAAAAAATTTCAAACATATTGGCACATAATAACAAAGCTTAGAAAATCTATTGTCAAAGCTATGTTTTAAGTATAAAACAGTAAAAAAAAATCAAAACACATGTTCTTAGTGTTATGCATAGAGAAATTTTGGAAGAATACATAAAATCAAATGAAAATATTGATCAGGTGTGGTTAAACACATCTATAATCCAGTACTTGGGAGGCAGAAGCAGAGAGAGGGTCTCTGTGAGCTTGAGGCACAATAGTGACACAGATGTTGTGGGAGTAACCAACCACTTTTTAAAATTGGATTTTAAGGCCTACTCCATGAGAAGGATCCCATTCCCATCACTGCTAATGTGCCCAAGAACCTGACACTAGATAGGTCATAGACCTAAGGGAAATTAACTACTGTTATTCTGCTAAAGGAAAATAACAGTATAACGAATCCAAATGATAGACTGCAATATCCATATAACAGTGTGGTGCAGGAGAATTATCTGTTTTCTGTCAATCATGTATTTTAATAAAACGCTGATTGGCCAGGCAGGAAGTATAGGCGGGTCAACCAGACAGGAAGTAGAGGTGGGGCAATGAGAATAGGATAAGACTAGGGAGGAGGAAACTCCCTCAGCATTCCTGTGCAGACCACCGAAGAGACAGCATGTAACCTGCCCAGCTGAAAAAGGTACAGAGCCATATGGCTAACATAGATGAGAATAATGGGTTAATATAAGTTATAAGAGTTAACAAGAAGCCTGACCTAATGAGCCAATCAGTTTGTAACCTTATGGAGTCTTGTGTGTGATTTTCTTTGTTGCTTGCCGGCTGTTGGGGGAGGGACAGAAACCCCAACAAGCCGGCCCTCATGTTACAACAGTGTATTGCCCAGCCCTCAGCAGAGAAGTTCCTTCTTGCAATAGATAAGAACACAGAGACTCACAACTGGACAGTGTGCAGAGAGTGAGAAACTCTGAAGCACTCAGTCCTAAATGGAATGTCTTCATCAAACCCTGCCCTGGAGGCTCAGGGATGTATATGGAAGAGGAGGCAGGAAAAGTTTAAGATCCAGAAGTTGATGAATACTCTAAATAAATAGCATCCTTCCAACACAACAAGATTACACACATATGAACTCACAGAAGTTATTACAGCACACACAAAGTAGACAAAATCCCAATACCGAGAAGAGGAAGTGTACATAGTTCCATCCCAAACCAAGAAGCTATCTGTAGTTGCTACCTGCTGGGAGGAGGAGAGCAGCTTTCTCCAGGGAAGTCTCACTGGGTGTGCCAGCTCCAATCCAGGACAAGCCCCATACCCAGGAGTTGGACAACATAAACTGGATTCCATGGTTTTTATTTTTTGTGAGATTTTTGCTTTGTTCTGGTATTTGTGTCTTATTGTTTTGTTTTGATTTTTAAAGAGAAAGCATGGAGTAGGGTGAGTACGGGGATGAGGAGGGTGTGAGGGGGCTGGGGGAGGGGGAACATAATGGAAATGCATTCTGTGAAAAGCTAATGAAAGAAAAAAAATGTATCACCCGGTTTGCTTTAATTTGGAGAAAGGAGAAGTAGTGGGTGGATGGAGGACTCGAGTGAAAGCAAAACTTGCCATAGCAAATTGTATTTCATAAATTCGATGAGGTTTTGGTGAGGGTGAAGGTTCAGGTTAACGTGTGTGCATGTATGTACAGATGCGTGTGCACACACGCTCAGACGCTGCTCCTTAGGAACTTTCCACCTGGGTTTTTGAAGCAGTCTCCCACCAGCCTGGGGCCCACCAATTACTCTAGACTTGCTGGCCGGTCACAGGTGTCTGCTTACATCGACCTCCCCAGCACAGGAATGGTAGGTGTGCACCATCACATCTGGCATTTTTACATGGTTTCTAGAGATCAAACTTAGTTCCTCATGCTTGCAGGACAAGCATTTGACTGAGCTACCTCTCCAGCCATTAAGAATACTCACTTAAGGAAAAACAAAAAAACAAAAAAACAAGAAACAAAAAAAAAAATCCCATTTTATTTAATACAATAAGCATCCTCTCATTGTCTGTAATTACAATGCCCTGGAGGCTGCCCTGTGAGGATCAAAAGGAACACAGACAAAGGTGACACCCTGTGGCACCCACCCTCTAGGAGCCTGAGTTCCAGCGGAGGGGCAAAGCACATAAAGCAGGTGGGAGAGAGAGACTGGGCCAGGTATGAACCATACAGAGCTGGGCGCTTCAAGCCTGCGGATGCAGGATGCTCTGCAGAGGTACTTACCCTGTCGTATATGGGATGTTTATGCCTCCAAGGTTAATGCTTTCACATCCCACAATAAACAGGGTTGAGAAGCACAGCAAAGACACTCCGCTGCAGATCATTGCTAGTTTAGCGGATTCTCTCGCACCAAGCTTCAACTTTTTTATGATGTAGCCTCCCAGGACGATGCCAACACCAGCGCTGGGGACAATGATGACACCTGAAGAGGGGAGGAAGAGGGCGTTAGTGTGTGCTAGCATCCACTGGAGTTTGCTTCCTGTAATTGTTCTGCTTCTGTTTGCTCGTTAGTTCCAGGGTAAAGAATAAGACCTACTCTAGTCCACAAATATTCAGTGTGTGACTTTATGGCTTACAACTTTCGAATCCAGAAGATACAAAGAGTACTTTTACAAAGCAATAGCATCAAAACAAATAATTCACGAGAAAGGCGGACAAAATCTGAATTGGCCCTTCACCAAAGAGAAAATCCAAATGTTCTAAGCAAATGAAGAAACGTAGGCTAAAACCACAGTGAACTTCCACCACATCCCAGTCGGAAGGTGAATATTTTAAAGTTTGGCAATGCCACATGCTGGTCAAGATAAAAGTGCTGGGAACTCTCAACAGTGGAGGACTAGAAGCAGTAGGGCCAACTTTGAAAAGCAGTTCTTCACGACATGGAAGAACTGAAGGTAAACACACCCTGCAACAGGCAGGTCCTTCCAAGATTCATACCCCCAAAGAAATCCATGGTGCGCACAAGCCACCCTAATAGACCTCAGCTGAAAATATCCCACAACGGACACGTTATTCATGGAATATTCCTGTCACAAAGCACTGCTATACAACACACAGCAACACAAAGGAAGACGTGTAACCAAACACACATAAAATGAATAACTCTTACAAAGATGACACAAGAAAAAAAACAACAAAATGTGCACATGCTCACACCTGCATCAAGTTCAAGAACCAGGTGAACAAAACTTGATGTTCTAGGATGCGCACACAGGAGGTATCAATATAAAGAAAAGGTCATTGCCGTGAAAGCAAAGGTAGCTGGGCTATGAGAGGTTCAGGACAGAGGCACTTCTGAACTCCTGAAAACGCTCCGTTCCATAGAGTAGGCCATGGTTACTGCCACGGCATGAGTACTTACATCTCCCTGAACCCATAGGCTAAAATCCTAACCCCCAAAGGGTTGGCATTCAGAGAGTGGACACCTCATGAACAGGATTAGTGTCCTAACTAAAGAGACCTGAGCATGCCCTGTTCTCTCCATCATATAAGCGTGTAGTGCAAATGTCCCGTCTGTGAGAAACAGACCTTCACCAGACACCAAATCCACCAGCCCCTTGATTTTGGACTCCTTACTTCTAGAACTGTGAGAAACCCATCCCTCCTGCTCACAAACCACTCCGTGCATGGTAGTCCTGTTACATCAGCCTGAATAGACCAAGCAAGTCTTACGCTTATTCCTTCTCTCTAAAATTGTGACCACTGAACTATATGGAAGCATTATATTTCATTGTAGAAAAATAAAGACATGGGATTGGAGAGATGGCTCAGCTGTTAAGAGCACGTACTCTTCTTACAGAGGACCCAAGTTCAATTCCCAGCAATGGGCAGCCCCACAACCACCTGTAACCCTAGTCCAGGAAGAACTGGCCCTGCGGACTACCAGGGCCATCGGCATTCACATGAGTGAATGAAGACACTTCAAAACTAATAATAAATTGAATCTTTATTTTAAACAATGAAAAAATAAAGACACAGAATACGCCACCCCCACCTTTACAAACTAAATGAGAGACATACAGGCTAATAGAAAATCTCAGTAAAATAATTCTACAAGGTGCTAGGAAAACACAGGGAAGGGGTGAGCTGAGTCTCCCCTGGGAGAGGCCAGAGAGAGCTCTCACGAGGCAGTTTTCAGCAGGTATTCACTAGAAGTGGTCGAATGTATCTAATGGACCGGCACAGAGCAAACATCTGAAAAAGGAAATACACGTGAAGGCACGAGGTCATGGCATTGGGTATTCACGGCACTTCAAAAATGCCAAGAGTGTGCAATGCAAGATGGTGGGAGGTGATGGGGTGCAGGAAAAGAGGCTAGGAAAAATGAGACCCTAAGAGACCAGGAGAAGAGGTCAGATTATACATCCGAGCAATGAGAGGCCACCAGGGAATTCTGAGTTGGGTCGGGTGAGACTTCTGTGTGGTGAAGACCATTGCTGAAGTGAGATGCAAGATAGCCTTGAAGGGGTGAGAACTAGAGTCTGGAGTGATCAGAAGGGTGATTGCAAGGGCCCGGGATAGCCGCAGGGAAGCACCGCACTGACAGCACAGTAAATTAAATGAAGAGGCTGGGGAGAGCAGGAAAGCTAGTGTCTGAAACTCAGTAGAACAGGGACCCGGAGAGAAGGACAATGTATAGACAACAGTTCAGCCATCTCTGCTGCAGACAGGAGTGTGAGGGGCCCGAAGAAGAAGGAGGTGGAGGCCTCCCACGGGGCACCAGGAGCTGTAAGCAGAGCCATGCTGAGAGATTTCTGGTAGAGTTCAATCTGAGAGGGAGGATGTTCTCAGATGATGCAGTGAGAGAAGAAGAAAGAACCATGGTTAATGGGTTATGATGAAGAGGTGAGCCCATAGAGAAAGCTGAAAACCAGACAGAGGCAAGAGGAAAGCCAGGGGAGAAAAATGTCGTAGTGGGACTGAAAGTAACCAACTAATCGTGAGCACGCAGGTGTCCGCATTTCATGTGAGAATCATTTCCAGGCACTTCTAAGTAACTATGTCTGGACTATCTTGGGGCTGGTGGCCCAGTTCCTCCATCACCACCACACCACCATCTTGGTCTCTCTAATGGTTCTACTCTCTTCGTGAGGTGAAATACAAAAGCAGGTCCTCTAAGGCGAAGTTATTGTCCTGCTACCAGCTGTCTGAACGTGATTGCATGGTCTTTTCTAGCACCCTCCTTCTTTTTCCTGAGACCTCAAAGAGCCAACTGTGCTCCACAGTGCCCCAGAGGTAGCCTCTGCCTGACGCTGCCTCTCGCCTAGCCCTCAAGGGGACCGTTCTGTGGTCCTTAAGCTTATGATTCAAGCACTCCCTAGGGACCATGATCCCTAGAACTCGGGGTATCATAGTGTGCATGTGTGCCGTGGGTAGGGTGGGGGTGCTTCAGTCTCTGCAGAGATGTGAACATCTCTAGCATGCTTGCAGGAGAGGAAAAAGGGCAGAATGGAAATGCTGCTTGTCCCCAGCCCAGGATCCAAAGACCTAAGTTCAGGTGAAAGAGATCCATGCAATTACTGGTGTCTGAGTAGTCCAAATAAGACAAAATCCTGCCCCGCCACCTGCAAGATGTATGTCCTTGGTAAATTTCGCAGCGTTTCCAGAACTCAGATTTTTCTCCTCCTGTCAAGTGTGCACACTAATAATACCATCATCACAGAACGGTAAGGAGCAAATGAGTTAGGACATAAGAAGTCCAGAGAACGGAATCTGGCCCACCATATGCACTCAGTAAACACTGGGCTGTTGTTACCACCACCATTACTTAAAATAAGGATATTAGCCGGGGTGGCAGTGGTGCATGCCTTTAATCCCAGCACTCAAGAGGCAGAGGCAGAGGCAGGCGGATCTCTGTGAATTCAAGGCCAACCTGGTCTACAAGAGCTAGTTCCAGAACAGGCTCCAAAGCTACAGCAACACCCTGTCCCTAAAAACAAACAGAAAAATAATGTTATTATATTTGTGTGCCTGTGTGTGTGTGTGTGTGTGCGTGCGCGCGCGCGCAAAGGGCACATGTGGAGGTCTGAGGACAACTGGATGCTGATTCTCCTTACCCACCACATGGGTCCCAGTGATCAAACTCAGGTCCTTAGGCTGCCATTTACAAACACCTTTAGCTGCCAAGCCATTTCACCAGCCCATCATCACTACCACTTTTAAAATTGTGAATATTGCTGTGATACACTTAATATTAATGAACTGGATACATTTGCACAAACATACAAGGATTAATTGGGCAAATTTTGATGAATAAGACTGAATTTAAGCAACCTATGTGACCCAACATAAGCTTGTACATGTTTTTTAATAAACAAACCTTTGATACTTAGCCATATGTGTCCTTAATTATAACACTCACATACTTATCTGTACATATATGTAATATTATAACACATATCTGATACATGTATGTAATACTCCAATACATGTCTGTAACATATATGTAATATCATAGTACATACCACTAAGGTGCTCAGCGTTGACACAGCAGAAGATTCTGCCTTGGGATAAGTGTTCTAGGAATGCCCTACCATTTTTAGGTGGAAATCTTTGGAATATTCATCTTTAAAGGAAACTGATGCATTAATTGCTCTGCTTCCTTTCCTCCTCCAATGTCAGGTACCACTCTCCCCAAGCAGATCTTGACGTTTTTACTCAGGGTATGATCTCCCTTGCTCTTATAAAGTTAGAGCTGCAACTCCATGAAAAAACGAGTCACTTAATCTCCAAATGTTTCAGAAACTAGATGAACTTTTCCTCTTGATGCCACTGTTAGCTAGAGTTGTAAATGGACACATAAAATATGCCTATGCTGAGAGCCTTCCTATCATCCACAGAACCCTGAACTGAAGGAAAGAGGGGAAAAGGAGGCAACAGTTCACCCCTCAGAGAGCTCTGCTGTTCTGTCACTGAATTAGGAATGATGTGTTTCTACAACGCATGACACTAGCCCCGGCATCATACTGACTACTGCCTACTGTGTGTGTTTCTGTCTTTCCTAAGGTTGGAGGTTGCTTGTTTGTTCCCAACTGCTCATCCCTGAAATAACTACACAGAAACTAAATCACTACTTGCCCTATTAGCGCTAGCTTCTTATTGGCTAGCTCTTACATCTTAATTTAACCCATTTCTATTAATCTGTGTATCAGCACGTGGTTGTAGTCTACTGGCAAGGTTCTGTCTGGCTTCTGTCTCTGGCAGAGCTACTTGGCTTCTTTTTGACTCTGCCTTCTTTCTCCCAGTATTCAGTTTAGTTTTCCCTGCATAGCTCTGTTCTACCCTGCTATAGGCTCAAAACAGTTTCCTTATTCATTAACCAATATAAGCATCACATATACAGAAGGACCTCCCATATCACTCTCTCTCTTTCTCACACACACACACACACACACACATTTGCATACACACACTCATACACAC